CACGGCTTTAGATACGGATTAATCGGCTGATTAATCACACGTCTTAGGCTGGAAATATCCAGAATTAGATCAAACAAAAGGTGTCCATGGGAACGGAGCTAGTGAAACACACACGCCATGCATTATAGCCTAAAACATGCTTAATATTCGCGACTGACACCAACGATTGTATGCGGCTATGCAGTGGAGATGCGTTCACTGTCAAATATCATTCAGCATTCATTTTGAAATTTTGTCAAATATTTTTTCTTGATTACAAGAAAAAAAACTATTGTTCTTGTTGTGATTTATTTCTTGTTTTTCATTTAATTCATAAGTTTGCATGCAGAACAGCACGTGAATTAAATGTTTAAAACCGGTATGGCTTTAAAGCAGATGCAAATAATGTAGTTTTGTGATTGCGCATAAGTGTCCCGTGAGAGTAACTACCACTGAGGCTGTGCTAACACTGATGTGAATGCATGTGGCGTTGTACATTATATTGAGACGGAGGCGCCAGAACTGCATCTGATAGAATGTGCGCTGTAGCGCTTCAAAAGCAGATAGTGGAGACATTTTAATCATCCACGATCAAAAATCGTCATATCGCACACCCCTAACTAAGTATAATCAATCTCACACACACAAACAAGCACAGCGAAATCACTTCACACTATTAAGCGGCTGTGTTATGAACATGCAAAACTGTATTGCACGCGTGCTAAAATGGTAAATTTATTCATCGTACAGACCAGTTTTTTCGTAGCACGTGCGATATATGTCGCACTGTACAGCCCTGGTGTGGGATGTATGATTTAGATGGGCAATATGGCCAAAATCTTATATCACAGGTTATTATTTCAATATCACATGGGGGTTTGTTTCGGCTGGGAAGCGTGCTATCTGTGATCGGGTGCATTTGCTGAAGCTCCCGAAACTGTGAAATCGCTTTCTTATGCACGCTGTTTTTTTAGGTTTCACTTTGAACGCATACAATGCATGTTTCAAAGATTCGGGATAGAAGGAGGCATCAGTTACTGTAGAAGATTTGTCGCCTCGCGCCACTTCCCGTGTGGTCACTGCATCAACTGATTATAATGGGTTCTCTTAGTGTAGACATGGCTTTAGATACGGATTTAGGCTGGAAATATCCAGAAATAGATCAAACAAAAGGTGTCCATGGGAACGGAGCTAGTGAAACACACGCCATGCATTGTAGACGTTTAATATTTGCGACTGACACCAACGATTGTATGCGGCTATGCAGTGGAGATGTGTTCACTGTCAAATATAATTCAGCATTCATTTAGACAGCTTAATATTCGCGACTGACACCAACGATTGTATGCGGCAATTCAGTGGAGATGTGTTCACTGTAAAATATCATTCAGCATTCATTTTGAAATTTTGTCAAATATTTTTTCTTGATTACAAGGAAAAAGCTATTGTTCTTGTTGTGATTTATTTCTTGTTTTTCATTTAATTCATAAGTTTTTTCTGCAGTCGAAGAAAGTATCGGGTCGATTTTTATAAAGCTCATCGGTCTGAAAAGAGAGGTGTACTCTGATTGGCCAGCTATCCAGTGCGTTGTGATTGGCCGAATACCTCAAGCTTGTGACGGAAATATTACGCCCCTCACCATACTGTGATGATGCCCTGTCCGGCAGGAGCGATGATTCAAAAACATGAAAACCCATTATAAACGAGGCATTTGTTGCATCCAGTGGGGACATAATTATGGATTA